CAGACTCTTGCTAATATCGCCTATTCCTTCTTTCCCCTTCAAGCGTGGGATGGGCGCGGATAATATCGGCCTCCGGTAGCTCCGTCGGGAGCCCGAGGTTCGCCTGAAATGTCCAAATGTTGAGCAAGTTTTGCCCTTCACTAGCGAAAGTTAATCCTACCTGACTCTTTTTTTTGGGGAAAATGCGGTAAGCCTATAGCGCGGTTAATGGCGAACGGGTGGCTTGACGACTTATAACCGCCCACGCAGACAAATCCAGCCACCTTCAGACTAGACAGCATTACATTCTGAATTCCAAGTTGAATATCAGAGCCTAAAGGCAAAACAATGTTTTATTTTTATTTTATTTTTATTCTCCTTTTTCTACTGCTACCGTGCCGATTTCAGATCTCACTATTAGAGCTGATGGAGGTAGATGGTGCATTGCTGTTGATTTATGGAGGTTATGGGAATGCTGTAGATGGTTTCCTTTGTTCCGGAGGAACGGTGATTCGCAGAGTAGCTTCTATAGATACCATATGTCCCTCCCTCCTCTGCTATCACGGGAGTTGCGAAAGGATCGGAACATGCACAGAAGTAAAGAGATATATGTTGTGATCCGTGGAAGGATGCAGATGCTTTATTAAATACCCTTGTCTTTACAGTTAGTCCGATAATTGTGCTGAACTGGAGAACAAAGTTTATCACTATTCCCTCCCAACCGCCACCCTCCAACGATCAAGTGCCAAAAAATTCCCCCCCCGTCTACTACTACATTATTTATCCATAACACCAGAACCTGCCCCTAGGTGGATGGCTCGGAGTTGAATTCCACCCACCACCACCACCTCCTAGAGGGGGTTGGCTTTCCGGCAGTCTTATTGAGGAAGCCTTGGGTCTTCAAACCCCCAGTCACTGCGCACATTGGACGGGGCTTCCTAATTCCCCTTCAATAGGCGGAATAATAACTTACCCTGCTAGGGGTATTAAACTTCTAGCCCCCGCCAACTGTGGAAGGGCTCAATCGGGCCTCGACACGTTAGTGACTGTTGCCAGATGGGTATTTCACATAAAGTCAATGTGAGAATGAACACTTATCCTATCGGCAGGCAGATTCCATTTCTCTCATCAAAGTTTAAGGAGAGAACTTTGGCATTATCCATTGATTAGATTGGATTCTAGGGGCAGGTGCACTCTCAAGAGAAAAGAAAAAAAGAAAAAAAAATTACAAACACTAACGGCTGATCGGTGACGATAAAATCCCTTTGTTTTTTGTTTTTTTTTTTGTTTTTTTTTTTTTGAAGGAATAGTCACAGCCAAAATATCCATAGCCATGAGAAGAAGGTAAGATTGGCGGAAAGTAAGACGTAATTTGGCCAGGCAGCGCGTATTGATAAAGTGGGTAACATGGGGGCGCTTCTGTATTTCTGACATATGGCAATCCCATCCAGGACATTTCTAACAACTTTCAAGCCGGATAAGTATCACGAGTCCGGTAACTCGATCGTCCCCCCCCCCATGGTGGAAAACCTGCATGGTAAAGCGAACGAGTGATGGGAAGTGACTGATCATAAATGGTAGCTCGTAAGAAGTACGACAGTGCTAATACCGCACCGGCGGAACACCATCCCTCCCCTAACTCCTAGCAAAAGGCAGGGACTCAGAGTGGACATAGGGAGGTACTAAGACAACCAGGCTCATAGGAAGACATGGGCCATAGCTGCCAATGTTTAATCAACATCGAGAGAACGGTTAACGAGATTCATGGAAATCACCTGTAACTTGGCCCAATCCGGCCGCTCCCTGGTTGTCATACTCCCGACAATACCCGAGCGCTCCCGAAGCTAACTACAAGTTGGCCGTCAAAGTGACAAATGGGAAGCTCTTGCACTCGCGCATCCCCCCGTCAGACACCGACTGAGTCCCACGGACCGTAAGTGTACAATCCGCCATCGGAGATAGATCGCAGACCGGCGGTCGAATGAGATGGAAGAGTATAACATAAATCTCGGCGCACCGATTGGGATCGATCTAGATCTCTACGAACCCCCGAGTGGTCCGGCAAGGAATTTGAAGACATAGTTTGAATACCATATATGTAAATTAACGGATACAACTTGGAGATAACGAGAGGCTAATGGCCGAGGAAGTTGTGCCGGTATTGTGACACCGAGCGATGCTATGTGCAGCCACAGTCAAGGACCGGAACAAAGAAATCCTAAAACCGGTTTCTGACCCAGCGCCCCGATTTTCTAAACACCATCGCACAAGATCTTGCTTATCAGGTATTACACGCCTTCCGGTCAGACAAGTCGGTTCCACCATTCCTACATGCCCCCGACTACACCTCTACCCCGCAATACCACTACAAAAGCAATTCCAACCGCGAACACAACCCTTACCACTCCGTTCCAGCGGAGGGCGCAACGCCCCACGCCGCTCTAACCAGGTAAGCCCCGGACGGCCGGGGACAAAAGAAGAGTTGCCAACGGAAGAACCCGCTGCCATCGGGAGTATGATAACTGGATGATAACGCCCCTTCATGTGTTCCCGGATTTTACACTTTTAGCACGACAGGTGCGGATTTCAGCACAAAAGCCCATGGGTGAATAACCGGTGTAAATCTTGGCCGTGACCTACCGGTAGCCAATGGTTGTCCGGAGGGGAACTTATCACGATGTTAAGTGATTTTTGGGTTGTCTTATGATACCACTATCCGCCCCGCACGGGTTAGAATGGTTGTTGTTATGATAGTCCGATTTAGGTGCTTGGGAGTTGTGGCTAGTTCAAGGGTAGTGTCGTAAGCGCAAGCACTATCAAGAAGCTTATTTCCCTGTACAGTCGTGTCTGAAAAGTCTACGTACCCCTGCTTGGCAACACCGCAACCAATGATCACCTCAACATCACCCCCTACCATGGCACCACCACACTCCCAAACCCTCAGAGAAGACCAGAAAAGGGAAATCTATGCCCTCTATAAACATACTGATATGGGGTATGGTAAAATTTCAAAGCTTATGAACCTCTCCAAGTCAATTGTTTCAATAGTAGTCAAAAATGTATAATCCAGAGATAAAAACACCCATGATGCCCCCAGATCTGGCAGACCAACCAAGATTACTGATGCCAAAAGGCAATAATTCTTGATATTATTGATGCTGAGCCTTATTTCGCCCCAAGAGACATTACTCAAAAAGCCAATATTGGACTTGGCAAAGATACTGTTAGCAAGATATTCAAAGAAGCTGGATTTAAGCTCAGGATACCTAGGAAAAAGCCTTTTTGGAGAAAAGGACAGAAGGAGAAGAGAAAGGAGTTTGATAGAGTGAGGAGGAACTGGATAAGAGCTTGGAAATGAGTGGTTTTTGTGGATAAAGCCAGAATTGAATATGATCCAAATCCAGTGGGAAGAATGGTCAGACTTAGACCAGGTGAAGAGTTGGAAGAAAAGGACTTAAAGCCTAGCTTTAAGTCAGGGCGCACCAACATAGGTGTATATGCTGCAATGATGCATGGAGAGAGGACTGAGCTCATTCTTGTGAGAAAGAAGACTGAGGAGGAAAGAACCAGCAAAAGAGACAGACTTGGTCTCAATTCCCACCAATATGCAACTGAGATTCACCAACCCTACCACATCCCCTTCATAGAAGCCATAGATAGAGCTCCTCAAACTATCTATATGGCTGCTGATAATGCATCATGGCATAATGAAGCAGAAAACAAAAAATTGCAAGAGGACTGTGAATATCAAAGATTGGCTTGGCCTCCCAACTCACCAGATCTCTATCCTATTGAGAATGCCTGAGCAATTCTCAAAAGAGCACTCAGAAAGCGATTCCCCAAGGTTGAGAGAAGGCCCCATAGTGCTACTGAATTATTTCAGGCAGCAAAGGAAGAGTGGGACCTCATTACCCAGGAGACATTTGATAGATGGATTCAGAGGATGCCTGAGAGACTTCAGGCTGTATTAGATGCAGATGGAAGCCATACAAAATGGTAGCATTGGGAAACTGTTTTTTTTCTATTTCTACTATGATCTATTTTAAAATTGTACTCATATCTTTTTTTTTGTTGTGGTCAGTATTATTATTTGTAGTGGTAGTGCCGTTGCCGTGAGGGGTACGTAGACTTTTCAGACACGCCTGGTACTCATAGGCTTGGCTACAGAGCTGTCCCAGACTAGGCCATATAATACTGTATTATGTATTTACCCTATATGAAGATGGTAACAAAAATTACTAGTAGAAGTGTGCTTTACACTCACAGTAGCCATTCTGACAGCATTATAACACCACCTCTATTCCATCGATAAAACTCAAAATCTACCACATCTCTGGGAGAAATTCCTCGGATTCTCTCTCCCAGGTTGTCAAAGGAACGCCTCATTTTCTGGGATGTCCATCGACCAGAGAGCAAAAACAGTAACAATTGATCTTGGCACTTTTTCGTGCAAGAAACTGTCCATTTTTCGCGCCACAACACCAATTCGTCTTTACTAGGCCTAGGCCTTTGCGTATGAAAAAGTTGGCATATTTCTAAAACCTGTAGTAGTAGTATCATAGTATTTTTCGTATTCTCTGGAACACCTAGGGAGGAAACTCAATTACTTGAATTCGGCTACTTTTGGATTAGTACGCTTGCAACTACCGGTGATTTTTCGTTACCAGCTTCGCACCACCTGTTTTGTGGAATACAGTGCCTACTGCGACTTGTCCATACCAACTGGCATGGTCACTTGGACTACCGCGCCGTACTGTTGTCGGGGGAGAGTTGAACTTGAGGATATTGGGTACCGTAGCACAATCGAACGGAGGATGTAGTAATAAACCTACATGAAAAGGCTAGTTTATCAGTACTTCTGCGCTCGGCATCACTGCTCCTCAACTAATCTACAGGTATCAGAAGTACTTGTATGAATCATACTCCAACATACGGCTATCATCTCTTGGTCTAACCTTCTCCGCCGAACGGGACAAATCCTCGCAAACAATGTTTCACTTCCTAAAAGCTTAACGATTGGATGAATAAAAAACTAACTTTTCGATTCGTGATTTCGTAATATGGGTACCCGCTATGGTAAAGTAGAGCGCAGACACTAGGAAAGAAATGGCAGAGTTTTGCTGTATCGATGACTCCGGACCAATAGGTAGAACAGAAGGAAGGGTGAACAAAAGAACTCCCAACTACAATCCCCTCAGGCAACAAAATAAAACAATCGCATAGCACCAAAGACCAATTAATCATGAATCCCAAAACTTCATTTCCCAAGCTCGCATCTCTTAACTTACACCTCTTCTTCCTCCCCCCTCCTATCTACTTACCCCTTTCCCTTCCCGGAAACGTCTGCCACAGTCCCCAAAAACACCACCATAACCGCGGCGTAGGCAGACGTAGCCATAAACACCTCCGCATTCCCCGCCTTCGCGACCATCATCGCAAAACTACTGATGACGGTGGCCAGAGCAACGACAACAATCTGCGCCCACAGCTTCCTCACATAACACAGCAACACAACCGGCACGAGCAAGATCACCGGTGCGATGACCGAGATCAACGCTCGCGAGACGAGTATCGAGCGGTCGGTCGAGAGCTGGTCCACACCGGCCCTCCTGGTGACCTCCTTTTTGTAGACCACACGTGCTATCAGTGCCGCGATGCGGGTTATTGGCCCGTCGGTGATGAGCGCTTGGTCGAGGGTCACTATGTCCTCCTCTGGTTGCTGATGCAAATCAAACCCCCGTGTGCGTAGCCAGGAGCTGGTTTTGTTGAGGCTGCGCGCGCTCGGGCGGGGCATGGTATAGACTCTATGACATCGTTCCAGTGCCTCGTCTGTTCTCCCTCAGTCAACCATTAACTAATAACCCTTGCGGGAGGGAAGGGATATATACGTACCGTACACCTTCAGTTTAGTATCCAACTCTCTCATCAACCCCTTCACCGCCTCCACGTCCCCCTGCCCGAACAATTCTCCGTTATCCACCCTGCTCAGGTGTCGCTCTAACTCCGCTACCTGTGCCTGCTTGCATAGCAGGTCGCGGAAACGAAGAACCCCAAAGCGTCGTACGAGGACACAGTCGCCATCATGGGACATATAATCCGCAATCTCACGGAAGCCCTTGAACTCGTCCAGGGAGTAGCCCGGTGCCGCAGCGCGGGGGCTTACGGCGCCCGAGGAGGCGGAAAGGCGGCGGTTCACATCTCCCACCCCGCCGCCGCCCATGCCAGAAGGGAAGGAACTAGTGGGGGAGATCGGGAGGAGGGTGGTGGGGTAGTCGGGGTTGAAGCTCCCCGGGGAGGGCGGGAAGTGGGGCGAGCCCCCTCCGAGAAAGGCGGGCGCCAGTGGGCTGGGACCTGTCAGGTGGAAGGGGGGAGTGGTTGGTTCCTCGATTTGGATTGTAGCCGAGTTTGGATGCATTTCGTATGAGTTGTATTGTGTCGTATTTTGTATCGTATAGCATTTAAAGAGGACAACGTATCGACCGAGACTCCCTGCTCAAACTCCCGAGACGAACTCCGCACCGACTATATAAACCAGAAAAAAAGGAAAATTTGTTTCCTTGAGCGACATAAATTTCATCCTGGCGAAGCGTCCGCAGTTCCCACTGCCACCGACAACTTAGATCTGATACGGTACCATACCCTCACCGTACCACCAGTATCTACCGCTATGTGGTTCCTCGTCGAAGACGGTCGTCACTTGGGGTTGGATGGTGCCTAGTTCCTGAAACCAGCCCCTTCCAAGAACAAAAACCACAAAATGAAATCAAAGATGAACACACCCCAGTCGAGTAAGATGATTGAGGGAAACTCCCCGTAGAACTCCCCAATATTTGCACCTCTTCGCTTCTAAGAACTCTGTCCTTTAATCGAGTGAGTACTTGATGAGAAGCATGGACCAGTACCTCACTTACAAGTACCCGGCATAAAAAAACAGAACATTTGAGCCCGAATTTAGTACGGGGCGTCCAGATGAGTTGCCATACAAATTCTTGCGCACTGTGTTCGCGTTCTTCAGAAGGAGGTAAGCAAGTAAGAGGGTTTTGTGTTCGACGCAATCCAGCTGAATATGTACTCCTTTTTCCTTTTTTCCCCCCATGCTGTTGTTGATCATCGGAAAAACACAGCCACATTGTCCCGAACAACCGAAACCAAAATTTGCTCAACACCAGACTCGCAAAAGCAATGTTCATAGAAATGAAGAATGCAAACATCTGGTAGCTCTGTGGAGACCCTCCCTCACCCACCTCATTCTTTAAGGGTGCGTTCATTGATAGTTACATTCGGTGATATGGAACTTGTCCGTGCATTCCTGCCACACGTAGACCTCGAAGCCTCTCAGCCCCCCCCCCATCTCAAGCTCAGCCTTGATCTGTGGACTGGTTTATAGGGCACCGAGAAGTGTGAGCAATCAGCGTTTTTTATCCAGGTCAAGCGCCGTACTCGAGTACTGGTGCCGGTACGATGTCTCCATAGGGAGGTGGTGGTGGGCTTGTTCGCTGCTCTATCTTGCTCGGCACCCTATCAAGGCTGTCTATGATATCTCATTTCCTCCCCCAGCCCACCAGGCCAGACACAGCGCACAACAGCAGTGCAGTCTAAGCAACAGGAGAAGTAAAGGGGGTACGCTTACAAAAATGGTGGGTATAATTGCATGTAACGACTCGAACCATCTTGCAGGTGCTTCACGCTTTTAGTTCAATACATTCTGAAGCTGTGAAAAAATTGAAAAATCGATAACATGGCCCAAGAAAAAAATTTCAAATATCTCCCCTAGTGCTCACAGGCTATTAAAGGTTTGTTGGTTACTTCGGCATCCAATATTGTAAAGATGAGGTTCAAAACAGCGCCAAGCCCTTCTATTTCTTATCCCACACAAAACCATTAGAAATTACGCCAAGACCAATGTACAGTACAGTACCGACCATATTCCTCAGCCAGTTTAGATTCAGAGTTCTAAAGAGTTGGAAAGCAAAATCCTGGTAACTGTTTCATAGATAGGTGAAAGGTTTGGTTTGGATTTCTTCACCGGGTCAGTGGTTGGAAGGTCATGAATACCAGCAGACTACTCGAGTATGGCTATTTTCAGTGGAAAATCTTCGCACCGCTCATCATTTTTAGCGCCCGCCTCGTGCCGCTGTCATCCTGTCTGTGCTGTACTCGAGTACGAGTAGTGCAGCCGCCGCACACCCCTTCCTCCCTCCCTTTCCGAGCGCAAGCGTATTGAGTATGGTTCCTGCCGTTCAAAAAGGGGACCTGAAATTTGGTGTATTTCAAACTCTTAAGGATACGCAACTACAAATATAATGGCGGTGGAAAAACCTGTTTTGGGAAGAGATGATGAAAAATTATAGGAAACAGGTTTTTCTTTTGCAATTATGTTTGTAGTTGTGTATCCTTAGGGATTTAAAAACTTGGATTTTTGGTGAGAATGATGAAAAAGTGTTATGTGAGCCACACTTAGTTTTCTTAGTAAGCATGAAATTATTACTTGAAAATGTGATTTTCTATTTCGTGATGACACTTTTCTGACAAATACAATCACAAGAAGCCTGAAACCTAGAATAATCATAACTAACCCTAATAGAAATAAGATAATGTTATTGTATTAATACTTACCATAGCAGGTATATCCTGCTTTGACAGTTGAATTAATGAATTACAACTGTGTTTTGTAACGTGTTCGCAAGGTGCTAATCACGTTATCAATAATAGATACGATAGTTGGCAGGTGGCCTGCTCTTCCAGAGAGGAGGCGAGAGCTGAGAACTAAAGGAGGCTTCGAGGGCGTACTGAGGAACAAAGAAGTAACCGTTCAACCAAGTATATTGAAATACTGTCTGTCGAAGTCTGCCTTTTCCATCGTAGAAACAGGCGGTCTTTAAATACACAAATCTGTTCATGTCTAGCATGAACGAAACTAATCAAAGGTATCAATCGATACACTTTGGTAAAACTCTTTAAGTATCAAAGCGATACTTAAAACAAAACATAAAACAAAACCAAGTATCAAACGATACTTAAAACAAACCAAGTATCAAAGCGATACTTAAAACAAAACATAAAACAAAACCAAGTATCAAACGATACTTAAAACAAACCAAGTATCAAAGCGATACTTAAAACAAAACATAAAACAAAACCAAGTATCAAACGATACTTAAAACAAACCAAGTATCAAAGCGATACTTAAAACAAAACATAAAACAAAACCAAGTATCAAACGATACTTAAAACAAAACATAAAACAAAACCAATAACCAAGTACCCGTACCGGTTACATGTTTCATATCAATTCTATCATCCAACATATATATTTCAGAATTACTTTACCAATGCCGCATCCAAAAAAAGCAAAAGCTTTCAGCCAACTTGTAGGACTACTTGGTGGCTGTCCTTGCAAGCAAAATCCCCCTGCGCCCTCTCTCCATGAGTCCGAAGTCATATCACAAAGCATAATTACTACTAAACTGATTACAGAGTCAGAAAATCACTCCAATTATGAGTCAGGTATGAGAGAATAAATTGTAGATATTGTTGGTAAATGTATGATAGTTATTAAGAAAAAACTAGATGTACACAATGATCATATACTAGTAAAGGAGGTCTCTCGACAAACCCAATGGAGACATAGAAAGCAAAAAGCTATAGCTATAAGTAACCAAGAGGAAGTAATTAGAGAAAGAAATAATAGCCCAGGTATGATACTAGATATACTACCAGTTCAGATTTATATACGCTTAGTAATAGTATAGCTAATAATGATTATACAACTATGTTTATAGAGATTGATTAGTGTGATACGAATGAAAGCCAGCTAGCAAATTGTCTGGAGTAGGCAGTTAGCAGTTGGCCTCAAGTTGAGATTGCATGCAAGTAGAAGACTAAAATACATCTTCTATCTTTGGGTAAGTTAACCTGATCATAGTGGCTATAACTTAATCAAGATTATATATGAGAACTAGAATCATCAATTGCTAATATTATAAACTAATAGCCATTAGAGATTTAAAAAAATACTTGCGGTTGAAAAAGTGTCCACTGAAAGGTCTGAAACTGGAGAATTACTACCAGGTCTTGCAATTTCTGCGGTTTCAGAAGCTCAGTTTGACAAAGCCAACTTGGAAAAAGCCACAGATGGAATAAGCCAAGCTTGTGGTAGCAGGGGCTGATAAGGATCGCAGAGTAGCATTACGCTTGATCTAAGATGAGCGCCAGTGGATAAGAGGCCGGGGGATGACATTCTGCAAGTCACTAGATATGTAACGTGTTCGCAAGGTGCTAATCACGTTATCGGTAATAGATACGATAGTTGGCAGGTGGCCTGCTCTTCCAGAGAGGAGGTGAGAGCTGAGAACTAAAGGAGGCTTCGAGGGTGTACTGGGGAACAAAGAAGTAACCGTTCAACCAAGTATATTGAAATACTGTCCGTCGAAGTCTGCCCTTTCTATGATAGAAACAGGCGGTCTTTAAATACACAAATCTGTTCATGTCTTAACATGAACGAAACTAATCAAAGGTATCAACCGATACACTTTGGTAAAACTCCTTAAGTATCAAAGTGATACTTAAAACAAAACATAAAACAAAACCAAGTATCAAAAAATACTTAAAACAAAACCAAGTATCAAACGATACTTAAAACAAAGCAAGTATCAAACGATACTTAAAACAAACCAAGTATCAAAGCGATACTTAAATCAAAACATAAAACAAAACCAAGTATCAAAGCGATACTTAAATTAAAACATAAAACAAAACCAAGTATCAAACGATACTTAAAACAAACCAAGTATCAAACGATACTTAAAACAAATCAAGTATCAAAGCGATACTTAAAACAAAACATAAAATGAAACCAATAACCAAGTACCCGTACCGGTTACATTCCCCAAAACAAAACAACTGTTTAAACAAACAAAACCTAATAATCATCAAAAGCGGAGTCTGAGAAACTTAAGGCTTCAGTTTCCGCTAAAAACTCTTTATCGTAAGTGTCACACCAGGGACAAGAGGAAACCCTAAGGAAACACTTAGACTCGAAGAAATCTAAGTCACAGTAGTCACAAATACCAGATTCGTGCTGTACATCAACCCAAGCATGATCATAATCAGGACAGTAGTCAATCCAGAGGATTTCGAAATAGTCTTCAAGTTGGATAGCATCGCGGTTCAACAACAGTCTAACAACCTGTTGTCGCTGCCTCACATTGAGCTCCACATAGTTTGACATCGTTATGGTATTCGGATGGTGATTGGTGACTAGATAAGGTTGTCGAGGGCCTGCTCCATAGCTTGATTCACCTCATCGCTGCTTTCGAACTCCGACTCAAAGTATGGTGCCCAAAATCCATCTCTAGCTTCAAGTTCTGCATGCCATCGCTCCGTTTCTGGCATTTTAGGTGTCCACGCATTCATGGTGATATAATTGATTGTTGGGGGGAGGGATTCGTTTGGCATGTTGTCTTTCCACCATTCGTTTACCATTTCCATGGCGTGCTCTAGTCCTTCTAGTAGTTCCCAACTGTTCTCGCTCGTCGGATATCCTTTCCATTTGACTAGGAACTGATCATTTCCATGCCAAAGGCGGTGGTCTCGGATTTCTTCAACTTCCCATTCATCCTTCTTTTCAATGATGATAGGTGCGGGTCGAGAGTGGGTTCTTCCAGGGAACTTGGAGTCGTCATTTGGGTGGAATTGTTTGACAGCAGAGCCATGGAAGACCACGGTATTGCGGCAGTACATGTGTCCATCCATCTGGACAGTGTAGTTTTCTGTATGTTCGTCAAAGGATAAGACCTTAAAAGGTCCTCGCCATCGGGGTTGCAGTTTCTTGCTGCGTCCAACATTGGTGATGAACATGTTTCCATGTACCATGAGCATATCACCTGGTGGAATAGAGACATGTTTGCGTCGTCGATTCTGTGCAGTGGTGGTGCTTCGGAATCGGGCAGCCTTAACAGCTTGGAAAGCGTCATTCCGAATTGCTTGATGGCGGTTTAAGTGGTCGTCGGAG